AAACTTGAAGACATTGATCGTGTCGTGTTGTCTTGATACATTACCATATTCTCATAACCAGCATTGGAAGACGTGTCTGGGAATTAGTAAGGAGAATTAACGTTTTCTTTCATTGCTGACATAACACCAATTTTGGTGGCCACTTGTTCGGTCCTCTTGCAGTTAAAAAACAGCCCAATTAATATTTGAGCCCCTTTAGGGCTTTTACAACTACGCTGCTAGCATTTGTATTCAGTTTTGTATTAGGCATTTCGTCAGACAGGCTTTCGATGTAAACAAACAGTCCACGGGAAATTATATAAACACATTTTTACGTAAACACACACGAATGAACTGTAAACAACAAAATTATCCACTCAAAGAGGCGACAAATCAGCGTATTTCCTGGTACGTCAGTGGCATAATTCGTTCCGTGTTCTGTAAACCTATGCGTGCTGTTAGCTTGCGCACACGGACGAATTTTCGCCTTTCTTCTACAACATCTCTCTGCGTTCGCGCAACCATGCTGTTAAAAGCAGCGAACATGAAAAAGATCTTAGATAAGAGGCATCATTTTCCTGGGTCGTAAACGTTCTGGGGGCCCTGTCGCTTAGACATTAGATACTTGAAAACAGACGTTTGTCATTTGTTATTTTCTAATATGTTTTTCTTCCTTCTCAGGGGTTGTAAATTAAAGGTTGTAGAGAGAAGATAAAAACACTGCTCGTTCATTCATTCATCACTCACCGGCTGCTCGCTATCATGGTTTCTTTTGTGTTTTGTTGGTTTGAAAATGCCCATTGTGGGAGTGTATTTGCATCTTTGTTCGTAGTGTCAATACAAACCTTCCCCTTTCCTGCTTCTCAAGTCGTCTTTTGTACAACAAATTGTTATCATTTATCTGTAAACAAAGAACAACACTTCATTCGCCCCTTTCTAGTCATCATTTAATTATTAATTTGTTTTGCGGTTATTTGATTTGAACAGTGCAAACAGCCCTCGGCGACCTTTCCAAACGTTGAAAAGGCTTTGATTACGTTCACGTTCTGAAAAACTGTGTTGTTTTTCAGGCATTTCTAAGCTTTCTACCCCTACGGCGTTTGTTTCGCATTCCCGGACTCTCCCGAGGCGGACCCAACCTACAGAATTTAGTACCCAAGTAAGTAAATGATTGTTTACGATTGAGCGAACGCTGAACGCAGAAATGCATGTTAGCTTAAAGATACGTGTAATCACTTGTTCTAAACCACTGGTATTATCTATCTTTGGATTTCGTCAGTTAATGTCTTGAGGGTCTGTCTTGTTTACGAGCGTAGAGTTTAACGTGGTTATGCCGGTGACGGTGACCGTTTGAGACATTTTCGAGATATTTTGTACATACCAGAAGGAAAAAGGAAATTTTATTTTAGAGGGTAGAAAATAAAATAAATTTAATTTTAAATACTTCCGCCATTGAACACCGGAATCGAAATCTTCTATTTCATTTAATTGTCACACTGAATCAAAAGCTGAACTGCATTCGGCAAAGCATCCCACGTGAGTCTATCAAATACTTTATTGGGACAGAAATGGTTTCCATGCAGTGCTCGCGAAACAATTTACAAGCAGATCTTTAAAGTACTCCATCCTTTGATTTTTTTTGGTCTAAAATGAGATAATGGAAAATAAGATGGGCGGAAGGCGGGGTAACGCGGCTGGAAGAATTCAAAACTGTCTGCCCACGAATTTATCAATTCAATGCCAGCTTTTACACAACAGAAATCAGAACTCCTTTTAAAACCGGTGGTTGTGTGATTTTGATTGAAATATAATAATTTTTACTTCAATTGGCTTACCAGAAATTGTTTTTTCATTGGGGTTATTTTTTAACATTATGCAGAACAATCTAATGCAGTCCTCTCGCGAATTAAGGCATAGCTTTTAGTTTTAATTAATATAGCTATATCAAAATACCCACTAAATAACATCGCATGTTTATAATCGTAAAATATCTCGTGAAATAAATCTGTATTTCAGAAAGAAAATATTAACACGCAAACGGCTTTACTCATGCTATGAGAAAAAAATAAGCAAAGAACCGGTTTTTCTCTTTTGGTTTTACTAGATTTCTTTCTTTGATTGATTATTTCTTTTCTACATCTTAACGAGGCGTGGATCCCATTTATTAAATTGCCACTTGTTTAGTCGTTCGGAGAGAACCCTTTGTATTGCTTCAAGAGTTTCTGGAAAGAAATTGTGGCCGCTTGTCTCATGGCAAACTAAAGGTTTTCAATAATTAAGTACGTGGTTTTAAAACATCGGTGTACAAATATTTTGACTTACACAAATCACGCTATATCTTGGTCTAGGAGGACAGTCAATGTAATAGTTATTGATTAATGGCCATTAATCTTCCTGTCTACCAAATCAAACACTATTATTGAAATGCGTTTCATTTGAGGTAAATGATCAACAAGTTTGTAGGGGTGCCTGATTTCTTTTCTTTTCCTTGTCTCGAGTGGTTTTGTCCTACAACTATTTTTCATTGAGTCATTTTCTCTCACATTAAATTAGCCCGAGTCATGTTTTCTTTGCCTTTTTTTCAACCGACCCCTCGCGTCGACCTCCTGGGATCGATGAATCGAGGGAGCAGGATACAAACCTGTGTACACAAAATGAAAGATGAAACTATAAGCTTCCATTTAGCTTAACTCTTACAACATTTACGAGATGGAGCTATGTTCAAGTATCTTAACTCTTTTTGCAATTAGAAAGTCTCGCTGTCATAGCTTCACTCAGGAACCATTTTTATCAGTTAAAGATACAACCTCCATAAAAAATAAACGCAAATAATGCTATGAAGCATTAAGCAAAACTATGCAACCGCGCAGAACGCAGGAAAGAGTACGTAAGCAAAGACAACGGTCTCTGTACTGGAAAGATATAACTGAGAAGAAGAGGATTCGAGCCCAGGTAGAACTATGGTTCGGCAGCTATATCTGTTACTATATTTGTTTTACCAAGCTGAAATTTTCCCTGATTATAAAACTCTGCGTCTGCCTTGCCTTAACATATTATTTTGATCACGTGACCTGTCACGTGATCATTTTCCTGAAATTGGATAAATCGGCGAGTTGGTGGCGAAATTTAATTGTATTGATCGATAAATGAGCGTTTTCGAAGCAATTTTAAATCATCTACCTTGCTAAGTTTGGAATGATCTTCCTTGATTTCGTTTTTAGAAGATACAAATAATCAACAGTCGAATTTTGTTGAAAAAAACGACCTTTGACCCTATAAAATTTTTCTGCGAAAAGAGGGACGTTCATTCCAAACTTGAGTGCATGGATTTAATTTACCTGCATCTAAAACACGTTTTTGTTCGATGATATTACAAAAATCCGCCACCAATTCCTCAAATAATGGCCATTTTCCGCTAAACGTCACGGGACATGTCACTGACCTTTCAGAAGCACCAATTCTACTTAAAATGTTCGGAATGTTAAGACCTAACTGTGTGCTAAACTGTGTTCCATTGCCATTTATGCCTTTAGAAATATAACTGATAAATTATTTTTACCAGTAAAAGCCTTTGACCCCAGCCTTAAAGTACTTGAAAAGGCGAGTGTCTTTAAAACCTCGTTCCCAGGCAAGAGGAAGAACTCTGGGAACGAGGTTGGTGTCTTCACTATTTCGCTACGGGCGCTCCGTTTAGTGTCATTTTTTGTGCACACGCCGTCGCCAGAAACTAAAAACTAAAAGAAAAAGCAAGGAAACATAACCATTTAAACAATTAT